TGGTCTTCATGCTTAGTTTTGCAATATCCTGAGATAAAACTGGTGTTAACCAACTCCTCAATCCTGCTAGAGCAAGGAATTCTTGGAGGGTTAGTAAGTGCAGTTTCTTAGACAGAAAGTTGGCACATGTCTATTATTCCGTGTGTTTATTACTCTTGTGATATTTACAGCTGTGCATGAGCACTGAGATGTGTTTTCACTGATATTTTGCCTTCTTGGGGGTGTTGTGGGATGTTCTAGGTGCTCTGCTGTGTAGACAAGCAGGGAATTCTTTCCTGGCCAAACCCCAGCCCAGAGACTGTTCTGTTCTTCAGTGGGAAGGTGGAACCACCTCATGATAGCCATGAAGATCTGACTGATGAGCTCTCTACACGGTCTTTCTGCCATCCTGAGATGGAAGATGAAGTGAGTAATATGTGAGCCATAATGCAGTATTTTGGCTCTGAACATGGTTTGACTGACGTGTACAATGTGGAATTATAGAAGGGGCCCTTTGCTTGTAGAGAAATCCTATGTTATAATTCTTTGCTTAAAGGATGAAGAAGCAGCGAGGATGAGACACTCTTCTATAGGAGTCCTAAAGTAGCAGGTGAATCAGTAGTGGCTCATGTTGAGCCACTGAATCACCACTGTTCATTTTGTTGGTTTCTTGCAGCCCCATGAAAGAGATGCTTTGCTGTCTGGCCCTCTGGCAGACACAGTCCACATGGCCAACGAGCAAGAGAGGAACAACTGGTCTAGTGACCCTCCAAAGGCTGCTGATGCCCATACCCACCGAAAGCCAAGCAGAAGCAAGCATCCCTCTGGGTCCAATGTGAGTTTTAGCAAGGACACAGAAGGTGGAGAAGAGGAACATGCACAGGTAAAGCATACTGACGGGGCACACAAGTGGTCTTTTGTACAGCTATAAGACAGACTTAAACCTACAGTGTCCCGTTTCAGGAATTTAGTGGGGAATTGCCTGTGGGATTCTAGGCTCAAGCTGTATTCTTTGTAACCAACTAGAATTTTCCTGTCTGTTGGCCCAGGTTGGTGACAGTGAGGCGATGACTTGCGAGGCTGAAGACTTTGTGTGTGACTACCACCTTGAGATGCTTAGCCTGTCCCAAGACCAGCAGAACCCCTCCTGCATCCAGTTTGATGACTCCAACTGGCATATGCACTTGAATTCCCTCAAGCCTCTGGGCCTGAATGTGCTGCTCAACCTCTGCAATGCCAGTGTGACAGAGCGTCTGTGCCGCTTCTCTGACCACCTCTGCAACATTGCCCTCCAGGAAACTCACAATGCTGTGCTGCCTGTCCATGTGCCTTGGGGCCTCTGTGAGCTTGCCAGGCTAATAGGTAAGGAGGAATTGGATGAGCAGACACAGAGAAATCAGAGCTGTCAATAGACACTTAATCCTTAGAGAGCACAAGAAAAATACTTCCCCAGTCCTGGTTGCTGAGAAGGTGAAATTACAGACCTGGCTCTGTTCACTTGCCAGAAGAGTCTTTTCAAGAGATTGGTTTTGGCAAGTTCTGACATTGCAGACACTATCAAAGGAACAAATGTCATCAGGGATATTCCCAGCCAGCCCTGGCTAGGCTTGGAATTCTGCTTGAGTCTGCCAATCTCAACAGGAGACAAAGAATACCTGCTAATGGATAGACAGCTGCCCTGTCTTTACAGTAGTGCTTTACCAGCAGTTTGGGTATAAATGATGTGAAGTACCTCAGGTTGTTCATAGGTGGGAAAACTGAGGCACAGGGGAGATAAATTGAAGGTAACACTAGGGTGGAAATCTGGAAGCTCTTGAACTCACTGGTGTGCTTGTCCTTCAGTGTCACAGTTCCTCTCTCCAGTGAACCAGAAGCATGAAAACTGTAATTATTGATAACATCAAGTCCTTCTGAATGATTTTCATCATAGATCTTGAGCCAGCTTGATGTAGCTGCACAGTGAGCACAGCTCAGCTACCTATTGCTGGGGAGACGTCAGAATGAGCATGGGCAAAGCGGGTGGCACAGAAGCAGAAGGAAAGACCTTTCCTCTGCTTTTCTTAGAGCCTGTTTTTGATCCTTGTCGTGCTCATGTTTCAGGTTTCACACCAGGTGCTAAAGACCTTTTCAAACAAGAGAACTATTTGGCCTTGTACCGCCTGCCAAGTGATGAGATGGTCAAGGAAACAATCCTGGGGAAGCTTTCGTCCATCACCAAGAGGAGACCACCCCTGAGCCACATGATCAACCTTTTTGTGAAGGACACCACTACCAGTAAGACTGCCCCTTCCTTTGGGTATCTGCTTGGTGCAGGATGATCTTTTCCTGCAGAGAGCCTAGGAAATGTCAGACTGGAATAGTCTGGAGTCCCTGTGGGATGATAGCCTTGCTCTGCCCATGGGCAGTACAGATGTGCTCACTAAACCTTAGTGATCAGTGCTATAGCATACGGAAGGGGGGAGTTCTTCCCAACTCTGGCTTACTCCAGGATCATAAACAACTTTTTAGGATTATTTCAGCATATAGGAAACCTGGTTTCTGGGACCAAATGGCAGTGCAGGGCAAAGTGGGGGCGTTATTTGGTTTTGAATAGACTTCATTATAATAGTGAGACTGGTACTGCACAGGGTTCAATATTACTCAGGGTTTTAGCTTCACATGCTAATCCTTCTGATAACCCAAATCAAAACCATTATCTTTGTGAGTTGTCTAGTGTATTATATTGCGTAGTCCATTTCTATATTGCACAGTAATAAGAAATCACAGAAATCCCATGCAAACGCATGGTAACCACGCATACAATACCTGAAGCCATGCTGACTTCTCCACTCTTAATCCTTCCTAGTCTAATAGGAACAGGCTAGGATGGAAAGGAATTATAGCTGGGTACCATGAGGTCTTAAAGCACCTCAGCAAGATTTAACAGCTTGCCTGTCAGAGCTCTTAGTCTCTTCGTAATACCTTGAATTGACTGAAGTTGGCTCTCTGGAGTTGACTATGTTTGAGATTGAATCTAAACTATTATTATTCTGCTGGGCAGAGGTTTATCAGGTAAACTGGCTTCTCTTGCCCAATTCCTCTTAAATCTTTATCTTAGCCTGGGGAGGAGCTTTTTCCTTTATCCTGCTTGCTGCTCTCCTGCCTTTGTGAGCAAGAATTTTCTGATGCTGAGATTCTTAATGTAGCAAAACCCCTTTAATGTTTCATGTTGCCTCATTTCAACTCCTTATCCTTCTTTTTAAATGGTTTAGTTTAGAGGCTGGAGCTCAGACAAATGTGTGTGTGACCTGGATTACACTGTCTAGAGTACATGCTAAGAGGAATTTTGCCAGTGAGGTTAGTTAACCATTGGAACACCTCTTGTCCCTTGAAACTTTCTTACGTATACAAGCTGAAGTAATGGATTGTGCAGATGACATTGGCTGCAATTGAATGGCTCTGTTTGTGCAGTCAGAGCAGATGATCACAACTAACCTCTCTTGATCCATTATTTGTGAATAAATCTTTGAGTCCACCCATTCCCAGGACGTGCTGAAGTCAAAGGGAGATACATAATAAATTCTCCAGCTGTAGCAGAAATAGGAGGCAGCTTATCTGTATGCTCCCTTGCTGTTCCATGGAAATATGTGTCTAACCATCTGGCAGCGTTCATCCCACATCCAATAGTAACCACATAGAAATGGGGGGCTCACCGTCACTTTCAGTGGAATAAAGTGGCTTGATACCGTCTCTGCCTTCCTTTGCTATAGCTGCACTCCTCCATTCCTTTTGCTCTGTGTCACTGGCTCAGCTGTAGCAGCTTGATTCTTCCTAATGAGTCCCAGCACTCTTGAATGGCTGTCATACTCCCTGTCCTATTCATTAGTTTTCTCCCTTGTGCCAGAGAAATCCTGGCCTTCAGCTTCATGATTTAAGAAGGGAAGAGGCTGAGCTCACTTCACTGGCAATGAAAGCGGAATTAACTCCTTCCAGTTTACAGTGCCTACTGTCACTACCATTTACCCCTTAGGATTGTTGTGCAGGATACTGATGCTGCTGAGTAGGAAGTGGGTTGCAGTTGCTGTCAGGCATGAATATAGGTATGTCTGTGGTCATCTCTATGCTCTTGCTCTGTGTCCAGGGCATAGTTTTTGCATGAATCAATAAACATCTCTTACTCCCTCTTTCCTAGCAAGGACTCTCTGACCCTAGGAGCAAGGTGGGCAGGATTAGGTGTTCATACAATACAATTAATCAGAACTTGGCACAAGTGCTCCTTTGTGTCCCTGAGACAGGCTCCTCCTTTCACACGCGGCTCCTATTAGTTGGAGGTTTGTTATGCTGATAAACTTGGCCTGAGATGGCTATTCATAGCAGAGAGCTGCTCTGCTTTGGAAAATCCTCCTGTGTTCCTGAAGGTCCCTGCCTGGTTTGTGCCAGTGGATATTCCTGGTTCTTGGTTTCACCAGCTCGTGGGAGCATTTGCCCTCAGCAGCAATGCCTGCAAGGAGCCTTTGGGCACATTTTTCTTGGCAGTGAGGCTTTGTCATTAGATCAGCTTTGAAGCTGTTGGGGGCAAAATCATGGAGCAGCTGGAGGAGGGAATCTCCACTGGGAAGTCTACGTGTGTGCAATGTTAATGTGTCAGTGCAAGTGAAAGGTAGCAGGAAGTATGAACGGGGAGGCAGCATCCTTTCCCTTGTGTCCCGTGCCTGGGACCTGCATCAGCCAAGTGCTATCACACACCTTTGAGAAACACTTTTTAACACCTCCATCTACAAGAGGGAACAGAAGATTTTAGGTCTGTATTAAAGAGTGAAGTAGTTGAAGATAAACCAGGGCAAGCTGTGGTGTCTACTGAGTTTCAGTTCTTCTCTGATCACAACAGGAGTTACTTTTGTAGAGTCTGTTATGTTGAACTTCTAATGCACCCAGATTTAACAAGTTTTCAGGACCCTTTGTGAAGCAGGCTGCTATCTAATGGGTCACGCTGTAGAATTACTTTCCTGCTTGAATGGAAGGTACTCAAGAACAGCTCTTACCTTTTAGATCCAATCCTGAGGTGAAACTGAATGCACTTTCCAGTGGAGGTAAACTTTGATCCTCCGTCTCATCACTGATGCTCGTAGTCTCATGGGAAGAGGCACACAGGGATAACTTTTCTTCTGTTCTGTTGAATACAGAAGCAAGATATTATCCCACCCATTGTAGGAGCAGGATTGTTACACAGTGTAAGGAGTGAATAGGAGCTGACTTTGGGGCTCACATCATAACCTTGTCAAAGGGGCTGTTTGGAGTGCATCAAGCCCAGTTTGCTTGAGCAGAAGGAGCGGTTGGAATGAGATCCCTTTCCTAAGAGCCTGTATGTGCGATGCTGACTCGTTGTTCTCCTACACTTCAGGCACAGAGCAGATGTTTTCCCATGGGACAGCTGACCTCATCCTTGAGGCCTGCACAGACTTTTGGGATGGTACTGACATCTATCCGCTCTCTGGCTCTGACAGGTAGGCACCGTGTCAGTGGGTGCAACTGCAGAGGGAACCAGATCACCCTTTGCTAATATTCCCTTTTCTGGTGTTCATTAAGCTATTTAATAGAAACTTCAAGCAGGTTATGAACAGGAGCCTTATAATTAATGATAATGAATTGTTGAAATTATAGCAACATAAGAGATTAGCAACAAGCAATCTGTTGGGTTAAGACTAAGAGGCTTACTGTATCTGTTAACACATTAGCCACTTCTAGTTGGATTCTGTTGTGTAGTAGGACCGTGAATTATTATCAGGTCATGTGCTGGTGGTAGATAATTTTTTTTGTTGTTCAAGACAAATGACTTGTCTTACACCAGATACAAAGTGATCAATTCTACCTGCTGCTGCCAGCTTCAAGCCAGTCCACCACAATGCAGCACACCCTTTTAGTCCTGCTGCAGGATCTGGCAGTGTCTGTTGTATTTGCATCTATAGGCTAAATTTCTGTTCCCACTAGCAGAGCAGAGATGTTTAGTTTCATGGACCAGCAGCACATTATTCTTCTTCCAAATCTGCTTACCCTTAAGTGTCAGAAAACTCCCACTGGTCCTTTTTGGAATATCATCTTAGAAGCCAATGAAAAATGCCATGTATAGTCTGATACGTTTCATTTGTGATTTCAGCTTAGAGAAGGAACTTTACACTATTCCAGTGACTGAATATTGACTAAATGGAGACTTCACATACAGCTCCTGGGAGCCAAATCCGAAAGGGGATGGGACAGAAGTCTGTTGCTGTAACTACCTCTGCAATAGATACTATTGTCAGAGTTGTCAGTTCCTCCCCTGGTGTTAGTCTCCCTACGGATAAATTCTTTCTGATGCATTAAGCTTCTGCTGTCATGCAGTGAACTTCCTTGGAGTCATCTGGCAGCCATATAGAGCATATTCTGTTAATAAATGCATTCAAAGAGCACTGTGTTCATACTCATCAATCTGTCTGATGAGCAAACAGAAACGTTCACCACTGCCCCTGCTGGAATATGTGTTCTTGTTGTCCTAGTTTGTTGTTCCTAGTGCCTGTAGCTTAGAAGATGAAAAAACTCTAAGGAAAGGCTTTTTTAGAGCCTCTCATCACTCCTCATGGAATACATTTTTCCAAATACCCAGCTGTTGATTTCTACATTGAACTGCAGTGTCCATTGTCAGAAATGAGGCATATTTCTGCTGAACTCTGCCTGGCTTTTCTCTCTTCCACACAGGAAGAAGGTGTTGGATTTCTACCAGCGAGCTTGCCTCTCAGGATACTGTTCTGCCTTTGCATACAAGCCAATGCATTGTGCCTTGTCCTCCCAGCTCAATGGCAAGTGCATAGAACTGGTGCAGGTCCCTGGGCAGAATGCGATCTTCACGTGCTGTGATCTCCCTGGGACAACCCCCATCAAGCAGAGCAGTCGGAGGAATAGCTGGAGCTCAGATGGTATGTGCTCTCTGTGCTGTCTATAATAAGTTCTGCTGCTGGGCCAGGTGCTTGCTCTCTGCTCAGTCTAGCGCTGTAAGAACACTGTTATTCAGAGCAGCAGATGGAAGTTGAGAGCTAAGGGTTTCTGAAGGAGATGCGTTTCCAGAGGAAGTAAGGATGTAAGAGCTGGAAGGTATGTTTCTGGTTAAGTTACAGTGAAATTCTTCTACTTGAGGGAAGTCTGTTTCTTAAAGCAGGCGACTCAGAGTCAAGATTTCTGGTAATTCAATACTTGGTTTGCTATTTGTCTGATCCTATGGAAATCACATGTGTGGGTTTTCCAGAGGAATTCCATGCATGGTGGTATGTGACTATTCTCCCTTGATTTTGTTGCTGTGCTGGAGGACTGGAGTCTCACCAGGTGGATTGTCCATCTCCTTCAGAACAGTAATGGGACTGAGAAATAAGCACATAACTCCATTTTCTTTTGGAAAAGCAATCCTCATCTCCTTCTGCCTTGGTCTCCCATTCTGTAACGTGTAAATTATGGGATTCCCAACTGCTGGGAGACATTTGTGACTGTTTTCAGCACACTCTGCAGTCCCACCTGTGGCAAGCTTTGCAACTGTGTGAAGCGTTGTATTATTTTCCTCATGCTGCATCCAGCTCCCATTCACCACAAGCTGAGCTGGTGATGGTGAAGGAACCCTGTCAAAAAGCCTTTTCAGGCTCTTTGGGGGCATCTGCAATGTCACTGGAGGGAATATGCTCCAGTTCCTTTGTATCAGCCCCTCGTACTCTGATGCCACTCTGTGTCTAGCTAGACTGCCCATGTTGTTTAAGCACAGCTTGATGTGTTTAAAATACACATGTGAATATTATGCAGCACAAATCCTTTACCTTTCTGCCCCAGTTCTTTGTGACTGATTCCTGTCTTCTGTTTTGTTTTTTCCCCCTTCCATGCTCACTGTTTCGTGCTTGTGTTCTTGGTCACACATGTGGGGATGTCCTGATACCACTTCTGTGACTGGGTATGCTGGGACAAATGGATGTGTCTTCATCTTTCCTCCTGTGTGTGTATATCTGCATGTTTCTGGGTACTGTGTCCTTGGGTGTTACCTGGGTGGCCTCTCCCACCATTTGTACTTTGTGTGATGCACATGTGGCCCCTCATGTCTCAATGTGATTGCGTGTTGTTTGCATGCCTGAAGAAGGGATTGGGGAAGTGATGGAGAAGGAAGACTGTATCCAGGCTCTGAGCGGACAGATCTTCATGGGAATGGTCTCATCTCAGTATCAGGCCCGGCTTGACATTGTCCGCCTCATTGATGGATTGGTCAATGCCTGCATCCGTTTTGTCTACTTCTCCCTAGAAGATGAGCTCAAAAGCAAGGTAAGCTGCCTCTGCTGAACCCTGAACTTGCATGTCCCCTGGCTGGCAGACTGGAGAGTCCAGCACCAGTGCAATCTAAGGTTAATCTGATTCAGCTAATGGGTCCAGAAGGTACCAGTATGGCACTGCTCTGCACCACTCTGGCACTAAAATCTTCTGTCTGCTCGTCTGCAGGTGTTTGCTGAGAAGATGGGTCTGGAGACTGGCTGGAATTGCCACATCTCTTTAACACCTAATGGTGATGTGCCTGGCTCAGAGATCCCTCCCTCTAGCCCCAGCCATGCTGGCTCTCTGCACGATGACCTACACCAGGGTGAGAGAACCATGCCTAAGCCACTTTGAGTGTTCCTGGATGGTTCTTTTAAACCCATTCCTAGGTTCCTGTGTCCTCAGCAGCTACCTGAGCCTTCAGAGTTTTGAGCACAAAACTGGATGGGCCCGAGGTGTGTGTGTGTGTGTGTGTGTGTGTGTGTGTGGGAGAGACTGCCTTACATTTATAGCCTTTCTACCTAGGCAGCACTACAGTTGTTAGAAGCAGACATCCTTCTGCCATGATTTTACAACTGCTCATTAATGCTTTTGGTTCTTGCTGGGGCCCTGCTCAAGCCACTGAGGGTCTCTTGCCTGTGCATTTTGCTTTCTTCTTACTTCAGCTGGGATTTCTTTACTCTTTTCTTCTTCTAGAAGAGAGAGGAGAACAGATAAACTACTGTGTCTCAAAAGAGAAGAGCCTGGGCTCACATCTCTACCTCTGAGCAGATTAGTCATCTAAAAATACTGCATTTTAGATGACTGAGTGGGATCTAAGTGTTGCTAACCCAGAAAATCAGACCTCACATTTCCTATCTTCATCTTCTGCAGTGCCACGTGACTAGACCATGTGGGTGGCACAGGGATGGTAGAGGCAGGGTTGTGCTGATTGTTTATGCTGCTGCTTTCTGCTCCAGTTTCTCGAGATGATGTGGAAGGGCTTCTGCTGATGGAAGAGGAGGGGCACTCAGATCTCATCAGCTTCCAGCCAACAGACAGTGATATCCCCAGCTTCCTGGAGGACTGTAACAGGGTGAGGCCCCCTTTCCCTGCCTTGTCCTGTTGTTATGGCCATCAGCATCATCTGCTTACTTCTAGAGGGAATTCCTCTTCAAAGCAGATTAACTGGTTTGCACTGTGACTCCTGATCTCCAGCTTCCTATCTGGAAGCTGAGAAGTTGAGGGTTCTCTCAGTTAATCGCTTTTACTGAACAGGGGTTTTTGGAGTTTAGGAATGGAGATGACCACACACATAATAGCCTTGAAAGTCACATCTCAGTCCATTTGTGTCCCCTTCCCATGTGCTGGGCAGGCAGTGGGAACATCCCCACCTTCTGTGCAGACAGAAGAAACTGTCTTTCCTCCAGCTATAAGCCATGGCTTGTGCTGCCCAGTAGCCAGGTTGGGACAAGCTTTTCCTGTGCCATACAGAGCTCAGGCATGAAACAGAGCGAGTTGCTGGGAGGCAGCACATAGTCTCTGACGAGTTTCTCCTCACAGGTAACAAGTGCTTAGAAATCCTTGAGCACAGGTTTATCGTGCTGATCTTACAACCCCTGAAGGCAAGCACGGTTTAGCATGTCAGTGTGGGCTTTGTACGGTGGCTTGGGAAAGCCACCTTCTGTCTGCAGGGACAGACAGTTCCTTCTGCAGTGCCTCTCCCTCACATGCACACTCCCCTGCTTAGTCTTTTCTTTCTCTTTTCCAGGCCAAACTTCCCCGGGGGATCCACCAGGTGAGACCTCACCTGCAGAACATAGACAATGTGCCTTTGCTGGTGCCCCTCTTCACAGACTGCACCCCAGAGAGTAAGTGGCACAAAGCCTGGGTCTGCCCTACTCCTGCCCATGAATACCTTCCCCGTCATTTGCTCTGGCTCATCTAGGTGTGGACAAGGGGAAGGGAAGGGGATCCAGCCTAGAAATCTAGAAGGACATTTTGATATTAAAACCCCTCTATTTGTACCTGTGGGAAGCCAGGTGTTAACTTCATTTCAGTGATGCTGTTTCCTAGCTACAGAATTGGGCTAACAACTGCTGCATTCGTAAGACACACTAAAGCAAGCATCCAAAATACTGCTGCCTTCTATTAAATAAGTATTATCAGTGTGCTAGAAGACTCTGACCTCTGCTCACAGCCTTCCCTGCCCTTACATAACTTGGAAATCACTTCCCAAAATGGTTTTCCTCTTGCAGTGGCTGTTTAAACCTTTTGCTTTGCAGAGCTTTTGATTACAGGGACCAGAAAGGACACATTTCTTATCTCTGAGAGATACCATTTTATCTAAGAGATGGGCTGAGTGCTCAGCTGGCCAATTCCTGTCTACAGGTATTGGAACTAAAGTGTAAGTTCCAAGCATCATTAGGTGTTTTACATACCTCCGGGCACAGTTTACAGAGTGGCAGTGAGACCTGGGTACAGCCCAACCTGCCTAACCAGTCAGTGCCCAGGAGACTGCCTCTCTTTCAGCAGAAATGGCAGTTTCCTGCTCCATCTAACCCTTGCAGTGCTGCAGACGTGGGTGCACCAGTTATTAGCGAAGCTGTTTGCATAGGAGTCTGCACAGGGTGGGTTTGGGTTTGGTTGGTTTGTTGTTTTCTTTTTTCCTGGAGCATTCTAGAAAATCCATCCACACACAGAGCACTGTGCATAAAGCCCCAGAAGAAAATGCACATCAAACAGCAGCTTTGATTTAGAGGCCCTAAGAGGGTGTTGGTAAAGAGATTGATGTAGAGGTAGTGGTGGGAGTGCAGGAACAGGGGCTGGCTCTGAGTATGGCTAAGCACAGCACTGCTTTTGGAGTAGTTTGTTGTATTCCCTCTGTTCCTTTAGACTTAAGACAGTAGGGATGTGCTGTTGAGCACATTTTAAAGCTGTAGGTTTTAGGTTTTAATTATTTAGGTTTATTTAATGTTCTGCTATACCTACAGCTCTGGTCTGAAAGAGATGTGCTAAAGATGCAAATCTCTAGGCAATAGTTCTGGCAATCACAGCTTAGTTCCTGCCTCCTGCAATTAATCAGCTGTGTACTTTGACTGTAGATCTCATTGTACATGAGTGATGAATATCAGTTGGGAGAACTCGAAAAGCTCTGACTGCTTGTCATCCAGCCTGGGAGGGGTGTATAAAACATCTGTGAGCATGATGAGGTAACACACTGGGTTTCTCCTTCTGTCCCTTTACAGCCATGTGTGAAATGATCAAGATCATGCAGGAGTATGGGGAGGTGACTTGCTGCCTGGGAAGCTCTGCCAACCTGCGGAATAGCTGCCTCTTCCTGCAAAGTGACATCAGGTAGGACAGGATCCAAACTCCTCCTGCTGCCTTTACCTTATGCTTAGCAAGTGCCCAGCCATGGGTCACACTAGATCTGTGGGTTGTGCAAGGGGATGCTCACAGCTGCTGTCCATTATGAACTGCATTTGTCTCCATAAGAAGATCTGGGTGGTACTGGATGGGATGATTAGCTAGATCCCTAGACACACAGGTATTTCTCTCCATCTTTGAAAGGAAGATGCTGAACTATTGTGCACCAAGTGGCATTACACATGCTTCTTATTGGGTGGAAGAGTGGAAATGCCCCTTTGGATTAGCCAGTTTGTTAACATTCAAACACCAAAAACCCAAATGTGTTCATTATTTCTCTGGGAATTACAGAAAGTCCAGGAAGCATGATCCTAAATTCATGTCACAGCTCAGGACTTCCCTGCCAGCAAGGTAGATAGAGGTGGCATAGCACAGCACAACTGTACAAGCTGGACTGCGTTGGAACATAGGTTCTTCTCCCTAATGCTCCTGTGTTGTGCTTGCAGTATAGCACTGGACCCTCTCTACCCATCTCGCTGCTCCTGGGAGACATTTGGCTATGCCACCAGCACCACCATGACTCATGTCTCTGATGAGCTCACCCCTCTGCAGCTCTCAGGACAACTCAACAGCCTGCCTTGCTCCATGTCCTTCCGCCAAGAGGAGAGTACCAGCATCATCAGGCTCATAGAACAGGTAAGCCAGGCACATTCCCTCTCTAACACTCAGCCCTCTTCCTGCAGCTCACAGAATGCAAAGCCAGGAGCTCATGTGAGCATTCTTATGGAGTTACCCTCAGTAAGCTGCCAGCATTAGCTTTGCTCCTGTTTCCTGTCCTTTGTTCAGGAAGCACAACAGATACACTCTTCCTGCCTGGCCCGACCAGTCCAAGGTGTAGGGGATGGTTTGGGAATGATGCTTTGTGGCCACAGAACATGAACACTATTCAGCTGGATAAAGTAGAAGCTTGCAGAGATCCCTAGCCAGACACCAGTGCAGTGCTGGGGAGAAGTGGTACCCCAGAAAAGCCAGGAGGTTTAAACTTAACCCTTGTCTAAATTCTCCCTTCCCTTCACAACCTCTACATGTACGCAAGAGACCTTCCCCTGTTGCTTACAGTGGGTCCAGATCCTCTCCCCTCCCACTTCCCCTGCAGGCCCCATGTCCTGCCCCTGTCTGCCAATAATTGCTCTTGGCTGATAGCTGCTCCCATCACAGCAAAGGGCTCTAAGGGCTTGTGCTTCCTTCCAGGCCAGGCATGCAACCTATGGGATCCGCAAGTGTTTCCTCTTCCTGCTGCAGTGCCAGCTGACCTTGGTTGTCATTCAGGTGAGTCCTGCCTTGGCTGGGGACAGCATTTAGCTCAGAGGACAGGAGTGCTAGCATGGATGTGGGTGGCTGCAGTGGGGCAAGTGAGGAAAGTAGCCTTTAGTCAGGTTTATACAGCATCTTTGGAGAAGGTACAGACAGAGACTATGTGATCTCAGCTGTATTGCCCCTTCTCCCTGATGCTCCTACAGGGGGTTCTTTTCAAACCCTTTTATCCCTGGGGAAAAGCATCCCCAGTAGCCTGGAGCATGTGCAGTGGCAGCCTGGTTACCAGCTCATCCCAGTGTTTTGTGGGAGGACAGTGGCATCTTGGGTGACAGGACTGTCCTAGCACTGCTCATGCTCTTCACTGTGGGTTGTTCCTGTGCAGTTCCTCTCCTGCCTGGTGCAGCTGCCCCCCATCCTCAGTACCACAGACATCGTGTGGCTCTCCTGTTTCTGCTACCCACTGCTCAGGTGAGTCTGTCAGGGTGGAACCTCCTGCCTCCCACCCACAGGATGCACAGACCAGTCCCCCAGCATCACTGTGTCCATGGGAAAAGGAGGCTGCATGGTAAGAAGGCTGGAAGGCTTCATGGCACATGACCCACTGCATGGTAAGAAGGCTGGAAGGATTATTCCAAACACCTTCTTTAACAAGGTGCTTTAGAACATAGGAGCATTTATGTACTGCTGTGTTAGGCCTGCCTGCTGTCTGAGAGCTGCTACTATCTTGTGGCTTGAACCTCCAGCTGAATATCTTAGTATCATTAATCCTGATACTGCTGCACTGATTGTAGGGTGATGGAGAACCTTGTGAGTCAGGCAGAGGTCAAAGTACCATGGGTGATGTGTTCTCTATCATACATTTGGAGGTCACCTCCCTGTTTGCACCTGACCTAACACCTTTTATAGCATATGCTTAAGGCAGTGGCCAGGTGAGCGCCAATGCTTCAAGCAGTCTGAGGAGGTTATTCGGGTTCAAATGTCAAACAGTCAAAAAAGAAGAGTTCTGGTGCCTGAGCTTGTTACTGAGACACTAACTTACCTTTCTGCAGCATCTCACTCCTGGGCAAGCCTCCCCACAGCTCCATCATGACCATGGCAACAGGAAAAAACTTGACTTCCATTCCTAAAAAGGTAGGTGATCCATCAGATTAAAACAGTTTACATGTTTTTCTCTTCTGCTTTGTCCCAGTGTTGATGCATAGCTGGGGCCCTGTGCCTTCCCAGCTCACTTGGGAAGTTGATCCATGGCATGAGCCATGCTATCCAAAAGTCTGGCATGGACAGGGTTTGGAACTAGATGATCTTAAGGTCCTTTCCAACCCTAACTATTCTATGATTCTATGACAGAAAGGGAATCCCGTAGCACCAGTGTGCCCACAGGGCAGCATCTCACCTGTACTACAGCTTGTCTTTTGCAGCCACTGGTCCCCTGATGGCTCTTGCAGGGGAGGTTGGGCCATTGGCATGCCCACATCATCCTCCTGCCTCTGCCTTATTCACAGACTCAGCACTACTTCCTGTTCTGCTTCCTGCTGAAATTCAGCCTGACCATCTGCTCCTGCCTCATCTGCTTCGGGTTCACCCTGCATGAGTCCTGCAGAGGGGTGAACACTACCAGCCTCAATCTCACAGCCTGCTCCTCCATCATGCTGCACAGGTGAGAACCAAGCCTGGCACACACCTCCCTCACCCCGCAGGGCCTGTTGCTCTTGCCCTTCCCAGGAAGGACTGATTCCCCTCTAACAAGCTTCAGACTCCTGCATGACCCAGCTATAATGACTATAGGGAGGATGGGGTGCTTTCCCCATAGCCTTGGTAACTGCGTCTTTGCTCACTGTTGCCTCCTGGTACAAGGACAGCCTGACTCCAAGCTCACTCTTAGTTCTCTCAGGAGGGACGTGGCCCTGGTGGGCACAGGTCAGACAGTAAGTCCCCACTGTTGACATCTTCCTGTATCCTCTCATTTGCTAGCAATGCTGATGGTGCTCCTGACTGGTTTGGGACATTTTCCAATGCTCTTCTTGTAGCCCAGAAGCTCACAGCTGGTCTGGTTGTCTTACACACAGGTAAATCTCTGTTCCCCAACCCCCATTACCCACTCTGGGGGGTAACTTGTCCCCTATACCAGAGTACAAGGTCCCTGCTAGAAGCAGACATTGATTGCAGTGGTCTCTCAGCACAGCCATAAAGCCCTTGTCTTACTAAACATTGCCCTCACAGGTAGGGCAGCACCTTCAGAGCTAATTCTGCTTCTTACCAGCCTGATGAAGCGCTGACTCCTTCTCAGTTTCACCAGAAGAGCAGCATCCCTCTGCTGGAAGCCTTTTTAAACCCTGAGGAGGGGTGGGAGCCAGCTCCTGACTGACCCTCACCACCTGCACAGCATTGCCTGGCAGAGAAGGTCCAGCTGATCTCTGAATACCTTAAAGGGTCTCTGCTCCCTTTCCACCACGTCACAGGATGTTGTGCCCTGGTGCCTGGCAGAGCACTGCTGTGCAGGTTGTCCAGGCCAACAGAAACACTTCCTGGTTTGGGAGGCAGCCTTACTTTAGAGAACTGTAGTGTGCATGACTGTTAATGTCCTTCAGACCACTGAGGCAGGTGGGAAATACTGTTTGGAAGATCCCAAGCAAAAGCTGAGCAAATGCTCTTGGGTTCTGGCTAAATACCCATCTCTGGGCTGGAGCTTTCTGCTGGTGCAGGCCTGCGGTGACCCAAAAACAAGGGCACATCCCATGCTCCCTCGTTGCGGTCCTTTGCCTGATCTTTCATGGCATCCAGGCTGCAAACCAACCTTGGCACCCCCATAGTGAGTGATCCCTGTGCAGTACTACTGCTGCACTCCTCCCACCCTGCATATCTTGGAATTGCTGTGGGGAGTCTGCTCTGAAAGGACCTTGAATGAACGGTTGGTTTCAGGGACATAAACCCCTTTGAGTTTATAGCTGTTGGTGTATATTGTAAAGTACGTGTGTGATGCTAAATAACCCCCTTCCCTCTGTCCCTGTAGTGTTCATATCCATCACCCACGTCCATCGCACCAAGCCATTGTGGAAGAAGAGCCCCCTCTCCAACCGGTGGTGGACGCTCACTGTGGCTGTTGTGTGAGTATCCCCAGGCCCTGTTGGGGCACTCCAGGGTGCTGGAGGAGGGAGGGCTCTAGATCTGCTCCAGCACCAGTTTGCTGGTGCTGAGGAAAATGACTGTACATGGCAATTGTTCTGCACTGAATTGGTGAACTGTTGTGAACTAGGGAGTGTTACATCTGGGCCTGAAGCTCGATGTGCAGGTCCTGGGAGGGCTGTTAGCTCTGCTGAGATGTGCTGTGTCTCTTTATGATCTTAGATTGCTTGGGCAAGTGGCACAGACTGTGCTGGACCTGAAACTCTGGGAAAACCTCAGTTCTTCATTGACCTTTAACCATGTCTCCATCTCACCGGTCTCATGGCTCTTGGGTTTTCTTTCTTTGGTCCTTGTGGTTATCATCAACGAGATAGTCAAGCTGCATGAAATCAGGTATGGGGATAGTAGGGAAGATGGGGAGAAAGGATTGGCACCTCACTCCAGCCTGGCCTTGAGCTGCAGAGAAATGCTGCACAGGGAAGAGGGTGGGGAATGAAAAGGAAAAGATGATTGCATTGTGTAAATCACCTGGCCATTGTGTGCAAGCTCCTGTTCCACCTCTCGGGGAGGAAAGAGGGTCAGGGAGGGGCAGTGGCAGTGATTGGGAGCAGGAAGAGAGACCAGAATCTCCTTATCTCAAACCAATGAGAGGGACACAGCCAAGGTCTGTGGAATACCGGTGTGGAACTGGAGAGGGCTGTTCTCTCCATCTCGTCCCACGAGGACAGAGAGGCATTGAATCACAGCAGAGGAAATACGTCCTCACACAGTGCCTGGACTGTGGGACTCATTTTCACAGGAAGAGACTGAAGCCAAGAATTAGGAGCAGGCAAAGCGACCGGTTGTTCTTCCTAGCACAGGGAGCAGCAGAGCTGGGAGTTAACACTAATGAGCATTGAGTCAGGAAATGGGTTGGTGAGGAAAAACAGTGGGGATTGAGAGAACCCTGATGGGGACAGAGCTGCTCTCTCTGTTCCTGGGAAGGCTTTTTAGACCTTTCTCTGCTTTCCCTGGAGATGGGACTTGGCTGGATGGGGTAGGACCGAGATGGGTTGCTCTCTGGATTCAGTTCCTTTCTTATGGTCCTACAGGGCCCAAGTCCATATGCTGACTCCTTTCTTTCTTCTGCCTTCTCCAGGGTCCGGGTCCGCTACCAGAAGAGGCAGAAATTGCAGTTTGAAACAAAGCTGGGGATGAATTCTCCATTTTAACCCCTCTGAGCTCGAGTTCTCTGGAGCCAGGGCCACACAGCCACAGCCTGCACTGAGAGTGGCTGCTCCAAAGGCTCGGGGAGCTTTCCCTCACACGTGCAAACCAGACAGCTCCCTGCCAAACTACATCAGCACCTTCCAGGGGTCCCAGGCAGGGCACTGCTAGCAGGATCCCCCAGGTATGCAGCCCTTCCCCAGCCTGCTTGGGCGCTCCCAAGGGAGCCTGCAAGCTCCAGTGGCTGTTAAGGCTGCTCTTCCTTTATTTATTTATTACTAGAGGTTTCTGTTAGTAGCATGGTGATGCTGAAATGAAGTGACTCCTTCCTTCTGTGTGAGCAGATGGGTTTCTTGGAGCTGGCAGGGGAATCTGGGGCCAGCATAGGGCTGCTGAAGCAAGAGATCTCTATTGAAACCCATTTTGGTTTCTCATATCCGCGTGCTCTCCTGGATGATGTGTATGCATGTCCTCACCCACCTCCCTGTGTCCTGGGGCAAAGGAGCCCTCTCTCTTGCAGCTCCAGGGGTGCTGGGTGCCAGGTGAGGCCTGGAGCTCACATTCCCAACGGGACACGGGGAAGGGTCTCTGGCAGGGTGCTGGGAAAGCCTCTGCCATGGCCAGGCTGTGCCAGGCCTGCCCTCTAGCGTTGTTGCTGTAGCCATATGCCGGCTGCTGAGTGCTTCAAGGCAGGGCTTTAGGAAAAGCTGTCCACGTTTGACCCTAGTGATCTGGTGCAGAGGGAGGCTGAGGGCAGCTCTGCCGGCCTGCAGGGGGGCAGCATGGCTCAGCTTCCTCCAGCCTTGTTGAACCAGCTCTTACCTGCTTTAGCAAGGCCCAGAGCAGTTTACAAGCATGATCCTTCTCGTGATTCACAGTGCTGGTTTGCTTCAGTAAAATGCCTGCTTGAGAAGGCCACAGCTAGAGAGAAAACCTGAGCCCTGCCTATCCTGCCATGGAGGGAGGGCAATGTCTTTCCAGGCAGGATACCTGCATCTAGCAGTTGTGGCTAACGTGGAGCTGGTGGACACCCTCTTTCCCAGTTCTGGCACTGTGCTACATCCCCTGCTTGCTCTTCAAGGCACAGGGAAACATCCCTCATCATATCTTTCTGTGATAGGGGTTGGAGGTCTCCCCCTCCATGCTGCTGCCCTCAGACCTGTTCCCTGTTTTTCTGGAGGTCTGTTCTTCATTTCACTGGGAGAAGCCTGTTCCTGAGGGCTGCTGCAAACCATGGTTTGCCCCAGCATGGCACACATGCTCTTGAACTCTGGCCAGACCCCAGTTACACTGGGAACACTGGTGCCATTGTGGTTTGACAGTTGAGGGCCACACAGGAGCACACAGATTTGGCTACCAGACTTGTTTCAGCCCATGGAGATACTGTCTTCCTAGTGCTAAAAACTGTCTAAAGCTGGTAGATCCTGGCACTGGTTTTGCTCCCACTATTAACACTACAGTCTAAAGCTGATACTTCTCCTTTTTGGCTAACAAATGGATGCTGGTTCTTCCCTGGCAGGCAGGGAGCTGACTGGGATCCCCCAGACTCTGCCCTGCTGCTCCACTCCGTCTTCCGTACATTTCAGCATAACCAGAGAGCATGCACACTACTGTGTGTCTCTAAGCAATACCCTTCTCCCTGCTGGGGGTCTGGTAGGAGAGCAAAGGGGGTACAGCCAGCCTCTGAGCTCTGGGGACATGAAGGATGCTGGAGGAGGCTATTGGGGTGTTGAGAGGATTGGACCCTGTTCCTGTGGTTGGAGAGAGGATGTTTAGGTTCCATGCTGCTGGCAGGGCTGGGATAGGGAGCCAGCAGCTCATGCTTCCATGCTGCTCTCCTGCAGTGCAGCAGCACCAGGCCACCCCTGCTTGCAGGGGGGTTCTGCTCAGCTCTGCCAGCCAGGCTGAACTCTGCCTTCACTCCTCTGGGGACTGCAGAGCTCCTGGCTAGGGAGAACAAGCTGTATCGTTCTCAGGCTCACTGAACTCACTGAACACCAGTTCCAGATCTGCTACCCTGGCACCTGAGACATCAGCTTTGCTCCCCTATGCCAGGCTCAGCTCAGATACAGTCTCCTCTATGGCCAGGCTGAGCTGGAGCCAGAGCCACCACGAAGCTGCTCCCTGCAGAACAACCCCTCCAAACCCTTAGCTCTTGCCCTGTGCCACTGTTGTAGGTGATAACAGGCAGCAGATACCGGTGCTTCCTCCTGCCTACACCTTCTTCTAGGGGAGGCACCTCCATGCTTTCCTTCTCTGGGTGATCACAGATGTTTTCCTGCACCCTCCTTCCCGTTAGACTTGGAGGGAGCCAAGGCCTATGAATGAAGCCTTTTGGATGCAATTGCCAATGCCCCCCTTCCCTCCACCACTGAGGTACCCGAGGGTCAGGGTACGCAGCTTCAGAAGTTTCCTACATCAAAATGTTTTTAAATGGTGTATATTTTATATTAAAATTTTTGGGATGTATGTACAAATATTTGATTTGTATTAAAACTTGTAAATTGTATTCAAAAAAAAACAGGCAAGAAACTCAGACCCACACACATCCAGTGTATGAATGGCAATAAATGAGTGAGCTGGATAACACACACAGTGAGAGTGGGAATGAGTTTGCACCCAGCAAAGCAAGGAGGTAGAAGTGTGTATGACTGCTCTGAATTACCTGTTGTAGGGACACGGCCTGAGGGAGCTGGATGCTCCTGGGACCTGATCCTGGCACTTTCTGCTCAGCTTCAGGCAAATCTGTCCAGCTCTGAATGCCTCTTCCTGCAGAGTAACACTCACTTACCTCATGGTCTCCTGGATCCCAGGCACTGCTTTGGCTGGTGGCACCGTGTGAAGCCCTCTGGATGGAAGGTTGGGATGAGCTGGAACAGGCACTGGGAGCACCAGAGAACAGCGGTGTGGTGAGATGGGGCAGCCTGGGCTTCTTGTTCCTGAGCAAAGCAGGACCTGGTGGCACTGTGGCTTACTCCTTGGGTGCCTGAGGCTTCAGATGTGCCCAGAGCAGGGCAGGGGAAGGTCATGTTGGTCCCTGCACTCTCACCATGGTGGTAAGACCCCAGCTGAACACTAACCTTGCTGGAGGTAGCAGTGGGACTCTCACCAGGGGAGCTTATCAGAGGAAACCCCAGTCTTAAGGTCTCCAAGGTCAGGATGAAGCTGATCCTCAATGAACTTCAGAGTAGGTGCGATTTGACATGAAGGACACACAACTAGGCAGAGCTATCAAAAGGGTAAAATATGCCCCACTGTTTAATAGCATTTAATCTTACTGCATGTTAGTGGAAAACAAAACACATGATTAACACAAACAGAGCAGATGGTTTAGAATCTGTTGTCAGTCTGGTGATTACACGGGCTATTTTTTCCCCTCACTGCCTTGCTGCACGGAGCAGCTGGGGTCAGTTAGTCCCACTTGCAGTGTACATAACTTACACACCATACAGTAGCTTCAAAATAGAGATCTAGAGCTTCAAAAATAGGCATTCTTCTGCAAAAATCAAATGGTTCAATTCCCTTATTGACAACGAGAGCAGCGTGGTGCTGCCCTCAGGTGGCTCAGACAGCGACAGCTCCACGCCAGTGTCCTCATCCCTGACCCTAGAGTCCAAGGCTTGCAGTTCTGGTTAGTAAATATATAGAATAAATCACATTTAAAATATATACATTGGCCTTTAGAAAAAAACCCACGAACATTTACAGTTTATCAACACTGGGAAAAGAAAGAACTGGGCTTGTCCCAGGTTGACTCGAGTAAAAATCAGTTTCAAAAGGTTTCCACAAACCTTCTCATAAAGTGCCACTGGTTGTAGCTATTTACAACCAGTCGGGTCTGTGGTGTAGCACTCGCCTGTCACATACGGGCATTTAAATACATCAGTCAGAGCAACCAGCTAGCCAGGAGAGAGCGGTCTCATCCGCCTCCAACTGACCTCAAGTCCCAGCCAAAGAGAGGGTTTCTGTTTTTCCAAAGGGAATATTTTGTCCTTGCTCCTGCTTTCCAGCAGTTAAACCCCTCAGGAATGTCCAGGCAGGCTCTGCTCTCTGCAAGGGGACAAGGGGCTGCACAGTTCCAATGCAGTCTCGACTCCCAAAAGGACTGGGAAGCAACTGCCTCTTGAGCCACCTTCTCCCATTCCAGTTTGGTTTTGTGTCAGTGATCATTTTAAAAGAAGGGGGATATGTAGATTATTCTTTTCCCTTTGTCAGGAATTTCTGTAGCAAATGGCACTTGAGTACAATCTTAGCTTCCCTTGTGGTGCTCGGATGCTTTCACTTGCTTGGCATGCCGAGCGCAAGCCAAGTTCAGGGCTCTTGGACATATTTAGACATGCACTACTGAACAGATCCCGCTGGAGAAATCCATCTTCCAGCGATGCCGCCGTTCCTCCTGCTTGGATGCGGGGAGCTACTGCTGCTGCTCCCTGACCACATCCAGCCTGCACACACGGTAGCTGCTGCTGAGCTGAATGCACCCGGTGCCTGTGGGGTCACCCCTCCTGCTGCAAGGAAGCGTCCCAAACGCTGCTCCTGTTCAACAATGCTCCCAGTGGAGTTAGTGCCAGCAGGGAGGGGAGTGGGAAAAGGGACCGATTTCTCCCCAAATAAGGGATAGAGAGGGGAAAAAAACGGGGAAAAAAAGCACTAACCGCGCTGCTACTTCCCCCTGGGAGCACCAGGCTGCTGGTTTCATAGGCACAGTGTCTGCAGAGGGCAGCTCCCTTTAGCAGCATGATCCCAAAGCACAAGCCTTCGGCGCTGCCATCACCATCCTCCTCTCTCTGGGCAAGGGGCAGCCAGAACTCCCCGTCCGGCAGGGCCGTGGCGGAGCATCCACTGCTTCCCATGCTCGAGGGCTGCGAGGGTCCCGCAGGAGGGATTTCCATCCCCTTGGATTACACGCTGCCTGACGCTGATGCGTTTGGAAAAGCAGCAAAGCAGAAAAGGTTCCTTCTCGCTCTGCGAGCTGCCAAACTGCGACAAACCCCGTCTCCTTTGAGCTGCTGTCAGGCCCTGCCGGGGTGGGATCTGCTCAGGGAACAGCCAGCCCAGTGCCGGCTGCCCGGGGAGGTTTCTCCTCTGACACATTGTTGGCAGGGGATAAATAATAAGAGGCAGGACTCAACAATGCAGCAGGGAAACAGAAAGGTCCCTTGTGGAGGCTCCTCGGCTTCTCCGTGGCCTCCAGGACCTCCCTGCGCAGCCCCCCGGGGCTCTCCTCCCGTTGCCAGTCTGGTGGGAAATGCCTGACCCCCTCGGAAGCGAGCCCGCAGCCGCGCTGGCACGTGTGATACGGAGCCAGGGGCGAGCAAGGAGGGGCAGCAGCGTTCCCAGCGCGGGGCAAAGTGTGGGGATGAGGCGGCTGGAGAGACCTGGAGGCACCTCAGTGCTGGATCTGCTCTTCCCCATCACAAGGGAGCGGCCGGAGGGAGGGAGGGGAAGGAGGGAGCCTCAGTCCAGCATCGCATCCAGCTGGTCGGCCAGGTCATCAAACATGTTGCTGATGTCTTCCAGGATGTTCTTGGCTGAGTGCACGGCCCCGGGGTGGCTGGGGAGGAAAGGGAGAGAGATCAAAACACAGCCCAAAGGCTTTGAGTGCTGATGGGGAAGGGTTGACCACGCTGGACCTGATGGTACATCCCTTGCACATGTACATCCCTTCACCTGCCATCCCCAGGGACTTCCCATGGACCCGATGGTACATCCCTTGTACACGTACATCCCTTCACCTGCCACCATCAGGGAATTCCCATGGACCCGATGGTACATCCCTTCACCTGCCATCCCCAGGGACTTCACATGGACCCGATGTTACATCCCTTGTACAGGTACATCCCTTCACCTTGCCCTCACTGGGAGCTTCCCAATCCCCCTCGAGGGCCCATCCCCAGCATCTCCCTCACCTCTCCACCTCCTCCTTTGTGATCTTCTTCTCTGCCGCCTGCACCGCAGAAGCCAGGGTGCAGTTGGTCTGCTCCAGCCGCTGGTGCGCCAGCTGCCCCGGGGCTGATGCCGATGGCTTCACCGACACCTTGCTGCCCGCCTCCAGTGCCCCGGCACCGGCCAGGGACCCGATCACATCCGGCACCGCCTCAGTGCCCGCCCAAGGAGCCACGGCGTGGCGGGAGGGCTGCAGGACCTGCTGGTAGATAGTCTTGGGCCCGGAGAACACGAGCTTGGTGGATGCTACTGAGGTGTGCTTGGCGGGGACATCTGCAAAGGAAGGGGACCCATGGCGTACAATGGCACGCATCCTCCTCACCTCCTGTACCAACCCAGGAGGAAGCATCCTGTCCCACTCCCACCTCTCACATACCTGAAGCAGGCGTCCTCACCACAGCAGTGCCGAGCAGCTCCGTGGGGCTGGGGGCTTTGGTGGGGCTCGGTGCCTTCTTGATCCCCTTCTCCAGAGACAAGATGCTTTTCTCTATCTCGGCAATCCTGAACTCCACGCTGTCATCATCAAACGCATCCCCAGCCAGCCCAGCCTGCGGTGCCGGCGCGGCGGGACCGGCGATGCTCACTGCCTGCGCCTGGGCGTACTGGGGCATACTGGGGCTGGTGGGTGCCTCGGCCTGCCCGGCCATGCTGAACGCCTTCAGCACCGCCTGCAGCGGCTCCCGCTCCCGGAACCGGGGCCGGCGCTTCACTGTGTCCGACTCGGTGAGGTTGAACTCCAGCACCGGCGGCTCCTTGGTGACAGTGGGGGCCACCACCGGCTCCTTCCCAGTGGAGCAGGGGGGCTCTGCTGGCTGGGAGCTCAGCTCTGTGTCCAGCACGGCTGCATCAGCCTTGGGGTGCCCGGTGGGCTTTGGCCGCTGTTTGATGGTCAAGTTGCCTTCCTCTGCAAAGGGGATGCACTCGCTGGAGCTGTTCTGGGAGGATGAGGAGGACACCTCTGGCTTGGTCTCCTCCTCCGTGTCTGAGCAGGCATCCTCCCGCCCTCCCTGTGCGACCACCTCTGTCATGGGAGCGCTGGGCTCGCTGAATGTCCGTCTCCGTGGCTTGCCGCTCTCAAAGGGGTCCCTGCCAGCATCGGAAAGCACGGTGCTGCTGCTGTCACCGCCGTTATAGGGCTCGCCATCCACATCTCCCCTGGGGACGCAGTCCTGAGCCACATGCAGCGGCTTTGGGGCCAGGAGGGGCTTGGGCGGACTTGGTGTCCCCTCCAGCGCAGCCGCCAGGCTCTTCACTGTCCTGCTGCGGCCGCTGTCACCCGCATCGGGCACGGCCTGGGGGTCTGTGGGCTGCCGCTGGGGCTCGGGGGGCTGCTCGCTGTCTGCGAGGGCGCTGGACACGGAGCTGAGGCGCTTGGGAGGCGGCGGGGGGGGACCCTTGCGCTTGGCCCGGATGGCGAAGGACTGGCTGCGGGTCACCTTGGTCTCTGCCTGCACACAGGAACGGGGCATCTGGCTGCGCCCCGGCCGCCGCGTCAGGGTGGCGTAGGAGCCCAGCGTGCTGGTGGGAGCCCCGTCCTCCTCCTCGTGCTCCCCGTCCGACAGCGCGTAGCGGTTCAGGCTGTGCGAGCGCTTCTTGTGCTTGAAGCCTTCGCCCCCGTTGTGCCGCTCCCCGTGCGGCCAAGCACCGGGGGCTGCCCCTGCGGTGGGACACGTGGAGGGCGGCTCCGTGGGGCCGCACTGGCTGTGCAGGTAGGAGAAGGCTTTTTGGGCTGAGGTCTGCAGGCTGCTCTTCTGTCCCGAGGAGAAGGGATGCACCAGGGTCTTGGGCTGCTCCGCTCCAAGGAGGGAAGGGACCGTTGGGGACTTCAATGAGACGTGGGGGTACATGAAGACATACGGGGCTGCCGCCTTGCTGGGTGTCTGGGGAGGAGTACAAGGGGTGACCGCCGGTGTCCCGCTGCCTTTCTGAGCCGCCGGGCGGGTGTACTGCTCCGTGCCCTCGGGCAGGTTCCTCTCCTTGAGCGGGCTGCCCCCGCCACCATTGGCAAAGCCATTGAGCCCCTCGGGGGAGACGAGCTTCCCATAGGGCTCAGGACCGGGCAGCCCCGGCAGGCTGGCCGGGCTCTCCTTGCTGCGGGGGGGTGTGCAGGACTGCCCGCTGCTGCTGCTGCTGCTCTCGCCGCTGCCCAGGCTCTCCTGCGAGGGGCTGGAGAGGTGCCGGGACAGGACGTGGTCCTGCGAGTGCCCCGAGCCCCGCGAGCGCACCCCGATGCTCTCCTGGCTCCGGGACATGCCCTGGCTGCTCTTGATGCCGAGGGTGTCGTGGCAGCTGTTGGACATGGCTGTCTGCAGCTCGTAGCTGAGCTCACTGTCCTGGAACGTCGTCATTCTGGGGGTGTGCGGGGACTGGCACTCGCCGTTCTCCAGTGACTCGATGGTGACGATGTCCAGGGCACCGGGCACTTTGCGCCTTGCCAGGGTCGCTTCTGCTTGGTTGAGGCTTTTGCGGAGGTCTCGGAGCTTCTTGACGGCCAACATGATCTTCTTCTGGTGGCCTGCAGGAAGGTTGCAATGGGAAAGGGGTGTTGGGTCGGTTCTGGCCCCTGTGGCCTTTGTTTCCTGGCCAAGAGGTCACACCACAAACAGGGGCAAAGGCCTCCGGGTTATCCAAACACTGCCTTTGGGAGGAGACAAACTACGGCCAGTGTCTTCGTGGCTCCAGCCTGCCAAGGGAGTCCTTAGGGACAGCCAAGGACTGCCCCTTCCGAGTGCTCAGGACAGGCCTGCACCTCCCAGCCCGAGGAAGAATGGGGCGTGGGGACCTGGGTGGGAAGCTTGGCTGCCCTGGCCATGGCGGCAGGGACTCACCCAGCTTGTTGATGCCGATCTCCTGCAGATCCTCCCACGTCAGGTCCGTGACGATGGTGATGGAGTCGTAACCATTGCTCACCAGCTTTTTGTGGTACTGGGGCAGCCCGATGGCGCTGAGCCAGTCCATCAGGTCAGCCTGTGAAATAGCACAGAGATGCTGCTGTGAGCAGAGGCATGGGCAGCTCCTTCATCCATCCCTTGACCTGGAGGCTGCATTAGGGTCTAATTGCATTAACACAGCCTCTATGTACCTACAGACCCCAGTCCTGTGCTGGGGTAAAAGCGCTCCCAGACCTGGGACAAGAGGGTGCTGGACCCAAGCCCCGGCACCAGGACTCACCGGGATGTAGTTGGGCAGCCACTCAGTGATGCTGAGCTGCCCGATCTCGGTGGAGATCTTCTTCCTGTGGCCTGGCTTGGTCACCCCGATGGCGGTGAGATCCTACCGTGAGCAGAGCAGGGCAGCGGTCAGCAGTGGTACCCACTGCAGCAGCCTGGGAGGTGGGGAAGGACCCCACTTACCTCTGGGGTCATGCGGCTGATGGTGGGGACATCGTAGCCGGCGTTGAGGAAGTTGGCGGTGTAGGATTCCAGCTGGAACTCGCTCAGCCAGTTGTAAATGGCTTCTGCATCCTGGGGAGAGGACAGGGCAAAGGACAGCCCATGATGCAGGGGCTGCAAGGACCTGGGTGCTCCAGGAAAGAGCTCCTTGTGTGCTCCAGACCCATCCCCTGTGTCCCCAGTGCAGTGAGAACTGGGCTGAGACCCCCAGCTGTGGCCCTCACACCCAGCACACCAGGTCCCCAGTTACCTTCCCCTCGAGGAGCTGCTCAGGACGCAGGAACTGGTGGGAGAAGACCCTGTCTCCGGGGGGGCAGCTGCCAGGGGGCTGGTGGGTCTGGGTCCCTGGCACAGAGGAGACAGGGGAGCTGTTATGGGGGTACCTGAGCAGCGAGCAACCCCCAGGGCTGGGGGCAGAGCTGTGCCCAAGGCCCCATGGAGCTGGGACACCCCTCACCTGCTGTGGGGGTCAACTGCCCATTACGTGGCTCTGATCCCAAGTGGTGTTGCTGGAGGTCGTCACCAGTGGAGGGCAGAGGCTGGGGGAGAGGAGAGGGATGGAACAGGGAGGCCCTGTTGCACCCTCATGAGCAGAGCTGGGTCCCCAACACTGAGCACAGCTCCAACCAGTTAAGGGCTGGGGTTCCAGCCCTGGGGGAGCAGGGACTGGTGCCTACCCTGGCGTTCTCGATGAGGATGCTGGTGCTCTGCCCGTTGGTGCCCTCGGTGCTCTGGCCGCTGCCGGCGCTGCGGATGCTGCCGATGCTGCCCTCGCTGCCCACACTGTTCCTGTCTCCTGCTGCTCGGGGCATCAGGGAGCAATCAGGGTCAGGGCTCACACAGGGCACACAGGTCCCAGCAGGGACCCATGTGCCAGCACACTGATACCCCTAAAACCAGCCTCCCACGAGACCCCTGCAGCCACTGACGATGCATCGGTCCCTCCTCCCTCCCGGCACACACAACACAGACAGGGCAACCAGGGCTGGCAAGGGACACACAAATGGACACGGGGACACAGCCTGGGACACGGGGAGGGAAGGGGCTGCTCTATGGGCTCCCCTACACTCCCTTTCCGTGTGCCTGCTCCCTCTCACGTGGGAGGTGGAAGGAGAGCATCCCCCTCCGTGTCCCCCTGCGCGGGCAGGGCTGGGAAGAGGGGAAGGTCCCCGGCTGCACCCTGACCTGAGCTGTCAGGGCCCGGGGCCGTCCGGGTTAGGGTGAGGTGCCCATAGGCTGGGACGCTGGGGGCTGCCTGCTGAGGACACTCGTCGGGGAGGTGCTGCAGGCCGCCGGGGGGGGCCGGGAGCGCCGCGGGGGGGCCCTGGCGCTGGTGTGCGGGTGGCACGCGGGGCACAACCATGCCTGCAGGCAAAGACAAAACACGCGCGGTCAGAGCTCGTGCGGGAGGTGCGAGCCTCAACCCCAAACACAGCCCCTGCACCCACCCCGGTCCTTCTCTGCCCCCCACCATGGGCTGTGGGGACCTGTCCTAGGGGAGGTGCAGGGGGGGTGTCACACAGAGCGCTGTCCCTGGCTGTAGGATGGACACTGACCTGTTCTCTTGCTGATGACTTCAGCGATGGACGGGGGGAAGTACCCGACCCGATCGGTGCCTTTCTGGGAGTCGTGGATGTGCCCCTTCCATCGCCCATCTGGATGCTGCTCCAGGACCTGCCGCAGGGATGAGAGGGATGGGGTTGGTACCTGGGGGCTATGCTGGAGCAGGGGGACAGGGAGCAGGGAGCAGACTCACTGTGATGACATCTCCTGCCCGGACATTGAGAGCGGTTGGGTCGTGGAGGTTCCAAAAGTCCTTCAAAGCTCGGACCTTCAGGATTCCTGATGCCTCTGAAGACAAGGGACAGGGGGAAGAAAGAAGGTGCCAGAGCACAGGGAGGAAAGAGAAAGAGGGGGAGAAAACAGGAGCGAGGAGAGAAGAAAACATTAATACTCGATCCCTGGTCACTGCCCATAGGGACGACTGGGGCATGTATCACACAGGACCAAGATGCTGAGGCTCACAGCCAGGCTGGTTTGGGTGCTCAGGAGGAACACTGGGAGCCCCACGGGGCAGAAGCCCCTCTCAGTGCCGGCCCCACCTCACCTCTCAGCAGCTGCTTGATGTCCTTGCTGGCGTGTGAGGTGGTGAACTGGTTCACGATGTCCAGCGCCGTCTGGTTGTAGGTGTTCCTGATGTTCACATCCACACCGCCCTGCCCACGAGGGGACGTGGTCACGGCCAGACCCCACAAGTACCACCAGACCCACGGGAGATGGAGGGGCCGAGGGGAAGGGGATGGTGGCTGCCGCCACCGCGCTCACCTCCAGCAGCAGCCGCACCACCTCGGTCTTGCCGTAGAGCGCGGCCTCGTGCAGGGCTGTGCCCGTCTTTGTCTGCTTGTTGATCTCGATCCCGGCCTTCAGCAGCTGCCTGGTGGGAAGCAGGGAGAGGGATGAAGAGCAGGACACGGGCGCCAGGGCCAGCCTGGGGACAGCCCCTTGCACCGCCGAGGCTCTGGGGATGAGGAACCGAGGTGGGTTTGGGAGGAAGCAGGACTGAAGCCGTGATGGGTTTCTGCAGGACAGGGCAGTGCCCAGGCTGGGGGGGGGGGCTGTTACCTGATGATCTCCTTGTGCCCGTTCTTGGCTGCCAAGTGCAGGGGCGTGGTGTAGTTGGGGTCAGTGGCATCCTTGGACTGCCCCTCCAGGAGGGCGACGCACAAGTGGCTGTTCAGCAGCAGCTGGGCCACCTACACAGGCCACAGATTGAACAGTGGGGTGCAGGTACCCCCACCCGCACCCTCCCAGCATGGGGCTCATCCCTGGGGCCAGCCTTCTGCTCCCCATCCCTCTGCTCCCCTCCATCTGCAGCCCCAGGGTTTGGCTGGTGCTGGCTGGTCCTTGGCATGGCCCCACTGTCATGAGAGGCCATAAAGGTCACAAGCACCAGAAATAGTCTTCCCATAATCGGGCTTTTCAGACCAAGCCCTAAAAAGCTCCAGTCTCTCCAAGCCCAGAGCAACATTCAGCGTCTCAGGGCAGCCCAGGGGCACAGAGGAGTTATTTTTACTGCCCTGTTTATAGCTGCAGACATTATAGATACTCCAAAGATGGAAATATCCCCCTGCTCCCCTCCCCAGTGGGGTATGGGACAGTCTGGCTGGATGAGCTCCAGCCCAGCCCGATGGTGTGGTGCTGCCTGGGTTGGGGTCTCCCAGAGCACAGGGTGGCCCTGTCCCCACAAGCCATGCCAGGACCCGGAGCTGGGTGCTCATGGCTTGTGGGGACCAGCCAGCAAAGCCTATCTGAGCTTAAACAGGAACCAGGAGCGAGGACTCCCCACTTCCCTCCCAGCCCCATGCTGCCCTGTGTGAGGTCAGGAAGAAAACCTGCAGCTCCCAGGTTCAGGATCCAGCCTTATCCAGGCAGATGCTGCCTGCTGGGCGCTGAGGCTTGTGGCAGAGAGAAAGCACAACCAGACCCAGTGCTTTGCTCCCATAGGAGCCAAAGAGCTCCAGAGACGTGCCCAGTGCAGGGCAGAGCCCCCAGCACTCACCTTCAGGCGCCCGAACTCGCAGGCCAGGTCCAGGGGGGTTTTCTTTGCCTTGTTGATGAGGCAGGGGTTGGACTGGTGCTGCAGCAGCATCTCCGACTGCGGCAAGCAACGTGGTACAGGAGCTCAGCATCATCCCACACTACGGGGCTCACCCCTTGCATGATGGGGTTCACCCCAGAGGGTGTGTGGGGTGCTGGGCTCTCACTTACCACCTCGTAGTGGCCGTACTGTGCCGAGAGGTGCAGCGGGATCTGCCCATCCAGCGAGGCCATGTTGACGGAGGCAGCGGCTCGCAGCAGCACCCGCACGGGCTCCACGCGCCCCTGCCACGCTGCGTAGTGCAGGGGCCGCATCCCTGCAGGAAATGGGGCTCAGCAGGGATGGATGAGGCCCCCAGCCCTGCTCAGGGTGTCCTGGGGCCATGGGGTTGTGCCAGGGGGTCGGGGTCATCCCTTACCATTGCTGTCCTTGATGTCGACGGTGGCCTGTGCCTCCAGCAGCAGCGAGATGAGGTCCAGGCTGCCGCCCAGGGCTGCGTGGTGCAGTGCTGAGAACCTGTGACACAAGGCAGGGCTCAGCCCAGCCCCATCCCCACCACGCTGTCCCTACAGCCCCTGCCTGCACAGGGACATGGGGCTGGTCACTGCCTGGTCATGGCCACATCCCTCCTGATCCCCTGCTCCCAGTGCCTCAGTTTCCCCATAGCAAAGCAGATAAATCCCTTCGTGCTGTCCAAGCCCCAGGGCTCAGCAAGGGATGCAGGGACCTTGTGCACCCCGACACCACAGCAAGAAGTGTCCCTCAGCCCCCAGACAGGCAGCATGGATAGAGATGCACCTCCTCTCTCTGCAGCACAGCCACACTGCTCACAGCACCCAGCAAACACAGCGGCACAGCAGCCACTGCTGCTCCCTTGCCATGCCAGCAGGGATGCCGGGAGCCCACGGCACACTGTGGGAGGCCGCTGGTAATGAAAGAGCCCTCTGTCTTGGGGCTGTGAAAGGGGCCTGTCTGCCCAGGGCTCCCCCTGTGCTGCCACGTGAAGGGCCAAGGCCAAGCAAAGGGTCCCTGCACCGCTGGGGATTAGCCCATGTGCTGCTCCAAGCGGTGTGAGGGGCTTCCAGGCAGAGCCAGCCTGGGAATCCAACGTGCTCAGCCCTGTGCTGGGGACACAGCTCAGCTACCATGGCTCCCTCCTCCCGATCCATGGTCCCAGAGCATCCCCACATCCCTATGGGTGATGCAGGAGGGATGCGAACCCCAGCAGGGATGCTCCTTCTTTCAGTGCAGCCACCGTGTCCCTGAGCTCTGCCTTGAAGCGAGAATGTGGGAGGTACAAAACACCCCCAGCCAACCTTGCAGGGATCCCTGTGGGGCCAGCTCTGCCCTCGAGGCAGCTCCAGCAGCCCACGTTCACCTGCCCCATCATCTCTAACCCACAAGCAAGGTGACACCAAGGACACCATCATCCGTGTGGCTCTCCCATGCACAGCTCTCACCTCCCTGCCATCCCCTTCCTGCATCCCATGTGCTGCCCATGCCCATGCCCTCTCTGATGGGGAACCCTCTGCCCTTGTTCCCATCAGCAGCCCTCCAGGAGCCCTGTGCCCTATCAGAACCAGATCATTGCTTCTATTATTACATTTTTTCCCTATTAAGCTCCATTTGCACAGTGCTATTTTCAGACAGAACCATCCTGCACATTCTCAACCCCTCACTGCCCTTCAGGGCTCATCACGGACACCCCCTCCTCCAGAGCCCTCAAACAGAAAACCTGTAGAAATTAGGTACAACAGCAGCACAGGTCAGAACTAATCCAATAAGAACACCACACTGATTTATTTTATGGCCCTTTGTGGTTTCTTTAACTCTCAGTACCCATCTTATTAAGTGCTTGGATTCTGGAAGTGATGAGCTACACAAATATGCTGTGGTCACTTGGCAACCTCAGCTTGTCCCCCTCTAACACCCCCCCAGATGAAGGGATTTTCCTCTTGGGACATTAAACACAGGCACAAGCACATGCAGGCACTGCTTCAACCAGCACTGAAGACATGGGTCACCGGCTGGACACCCTGTGATCCCTTTTCACCCTCATCCCTATGGAAGGGGACACGAAGAGCTTTATTTTGCTGGATGGATCGAGCACAGCCCTTAGTTCCAGCAGGCGCTGGCTCTGCCTCTATGGGGCTTGCCCTGGCTTTGGGATGCTGCTGTGTCCCCTGTGCCTCAGCAGCTTTCTGATACCCAGAGCTGCAGAACCGACTGGATACAGGGAAGAACAACCCCCCCCCCCCCGCCCCATGCTGGCAGCAGCACCCAGCACCCTGCCAGGGGGGCACTCACCCGTCCGCATCCTGGTAGTTCACATTGAGGCGCTTGGCAGACCCCAGGAGCTCTGCAGAGAGAAGAGGTGAAGGTGAGGGCAGGAGGCAGCCCCCAGCACCCTGTGTGACCACATCCCGCAGCCGCACCGACCTCCCGGCGCACAGAACAGCGCCTGCCCCATCCCGGCGGCCTCTGCCCTCCTCTCACTCCATCTTCACATCCACGAACCCTCAATGGGCTGACCCAGCCCAAGCTCAGACCCTTTCCTCCTTCATCCTTCCTGCTCCATCTCTGTGCACCCCCGGGACGGGCCGGACCCCACAGCTCCCGTCACCCCTGCTCGTGGGACCGTGCTTCCCTCCCTTTTATAGGCAGAAACACCCCAAAACTGCTGAGTGGGGCCATTCCGCTCCCCACTCACCCTCCGTGCCCATCCCTGCTGCCAAGGCCTGGCCCACAGAGCGCATGGCTGGCATTTTATGGCCGAAGCCTCAGTGAATGTGAGGATTGTGCCAGCCCGGGTATCCCTGTGTCCCCCCCATCGCTCCCCATTGGGGACCACTGAGCCGCAGAGGATGCTCACCCCACACAGCCTCACACTCTCCCGCCCCCCCCCCGATGGCTCCTTCCCGCAATTAATTCGAATGAATTCCTTCCTCCCACACGGAGAGGACGTTTCATTCTCCACCGAGGGGTTGAGAACGGATTAACATCCCTGGAATTCATCCGCCAAGTCAAAAGGGAAAGAAAGGGGAAGGGATGCGGGGGGCACGGAATGCCGCCGCTCCTCCTCTGCCCCATGGCCGGGCCAGGGAGGATTAACTGCTTTGAAAAGTTCCTTTGCTGTTTCCTAGGGAAAATCAAAGCCTGAGAGCCAGGCTTGGAGTGCTCCAACCCCACTAAAACATAGCGGGGTCCTGGGGAAGGAGTCCCTTTCCTTGCAGCTGGACGCAGATCCTCAGAGATCCGCAGCTCTCTTTTCCTCCTCTCCCGAGGTCTCTCCCCACCTCGCATGGCAGATCCCATACAAAGCCATACTCTGCTGTATGGCCCCTCCGCAGGAAGGCAGGGTTGAAGAGGGGGCCGGCCCATTCCTCATGCAAATGGTAATTAAAGGAAACCAAGGGATGCTGCGGTCCTTACTGCAATCTGTGCTGTTTTGTAAACAGCCTCATTAGTGCAGAATGGGCTTGGAGTGGCTGCCGGTGAAGGACTCGTGACTCTTCACCACAGCTGAGGGGATCAGGATGGGATCACCCTAATTACCCCTTCCAGAGTGGCAGCCAGCGGCTCCACCAACCCGAAAGCTCTTCCAAAGCCACATCCCATTGTGGGACTGCTCCCATCAGCTGGAAACTGCCTGAGCTGGGAAACAGGGGTGAGGAGGAGGAAGAGAGGGCCTTAGCCACTGCAGAGGGGCAGAGCCTGCATTGTGCTAGGAGGAGAAGGGCTGGATGGATATTCCCACTGTGCACATCCGAAAGAGGCTGAAACATCCCACAGCCCCCCCCAGGCTGGCTCTGGAGTTGAGCAATGCCCATTATCTGAATAGCACAAGCTCTCCCTAAATCCCATCCCGAACCACCTCCTGCAATGGCACTGGGCTGGCTGGTGGGGTCCAGTAAGCGGGGCTGGGATGCAGTGGGTGCCCTAGGACACAGGGGGTGTCCCTGTTGGCTCCCCAGCCCCAGGAGGCAGCTGTCAGCATCTGCACAGCAGTGTCTGTGTCTTTGCCCCTTTCCAAGCAGCATTCCTCAGACTAGTTCCCTGCCCAGCAAGGCTGGGACACGGGGCAGGACCATGCAGACCATGGACAGCATGGGTGGGTGGGAAAGCAGCAGGTCCCCAGAAGCAGAAAGGGTTCATCCCCAGCTACAAACTGGAAACAAACCCCTGGGAAGGGGAAGGTTTCCCTGCATCCCTCTTCCTCTTTCCACCCATGTGCTCCTTTTGACCACTTTCCCCATTTTTTTCCCCATTTCTTCAACACCTTCTCCTCCTGTTGGCGTCCCGGCAGCTCCAGGCTCCATGGCCTTCCTCACGGCACAGCATTCCCAGTCCCACAGCCCTCCCAGACTGGTTTGGAGATGCACCTCCAGCCGGGACACCCTAGAGCCAGGCAGGGAAAGGGCTGCAGGGCTGAGGCTGATCCAGACCCTTCCCATCCCAGGCACATCATCACCTCCTGTGTGTTTGCAGCAGGCTGGGAGCACCCATGGGCCTGATCCACAAACCCCCCGCTCCCTGCCAGGATCACATTCACATCCCAGGAAGACAAACACAGGAAAACACGGATTTGGTGCCAAAAAGCCCTTGAAGTGGATGGTTCCAGGAGCGTGGCATCCCAAGGGTTAACTCCAGCTGCGGGCTCCCCAACATGCCCCCTCCGAGGGGTCCCACCGGGCTCCCATCCCTGCTCCAGCGCCTGCCCAGGCAGGATGAGGCTCGGCAGCGTGGGGCCGGCGCTGAGCGAGGCCTCGAGGGAGGCAGAGAGCTTCTGTGCAGCGCGGGGCTGCCAAGAGCAGCGCCGGGAACTGCTCACACGTGTGTGGGGCTGGGAAAGCAGCGCGGCCGCCAGCGGGACCCGCACCCTCGGCCACGGGATCATGGAAGAACCGGGCTGGGAAAGAGCCTCAAGCTCATCAGGTCCAACCGCTCCCAGCACTGCCGAGGCCACCCCTAACCCACGGCACTGAGGCCTCGTCTCCACGCTGTGTGAACACTTGCAGGGACGGTGACTCCAGCCCTGCCCTGTTCCAATGCCTGAGCACCCTCTGGGGCAGGAATTGTTCCTCAGCTCCATCTAAACCTGCCCTGGTGCAGCTTGAGGCTGTCTCCTCTTGTCCCATCCCTTGTTCCTTGGGAGCAGAGCCCAGCTCCTCCTGGCTCCATCCTCCTGTCAGGCACTTGTAGGGAGCCATCAGGTCCCCCCTGAGCCTTCTCTTCTCCACACTGAACCCCCCAGGTCCCTCAGCCATTCCCCATCACACTTGCGCTCCAGGCCCTGCACCAGCTCCATTCCCTTCTCTGGCTCCAGCACCTCAATGTCTCTCTTGTAGTGATGGGCCCATAACTCAACCATGGCAAAGTGCCAGCCCGTGGCCATTTGAATCCTCACTGGTGGAGGAGCCAGGATGGCACAGCCCCACATGGCATACCCCCAACCAGCCCCTGCACTGTGCCCTGTGCCTCAGTTTCCCCATGGGTCCAGGCTGCACCCCCTGTTGTACTGCCCGCTGGGCTGAGCTCATCATGGGATGCAGGGGGCACCCGTGGAGCCGCCGGCCAGGGCAGGCTCCTCACCCGTGCCGCTGGCACCCGGCCCGGCACCAACCCCTATTTACCCCCCCCGGGCGCTCACCCGGCGCCGGCTGTGCCGGCTGCGTGGAGCCAGGCGTGTCTCTGCCCGGCCAGCACCCGGTGCCAGCGCAGCGGGTACGGCATCGGCATCACCCCTGCCCCTCACTGCACAGCTCGGCCCCGGCGGCTTCTCCCTGAGGTGCTGGAAGCGGACACGATCCCTCCGCAGAGCTGGCCTGGATTTGGCTCCCAAGCATCCTGTCTGTGTCCCCCCCCCCCCACAAAGCACCCCTTGGAGACTCCTGCCCTGGCTCCCCCAGGGAGAGTCAGGCTCCAGAAAGCGCTGCTTTAGCTGTGACCCCCCCCCCCCGGGTTTTGTCCGATCACTGTGGTCTGCGCTCTTCCACTTCAAGCCTTTGTGGAGAGCACAGATTGATAACAGGAGACACCTCCTTGCCAGTCCCACCTCTCTGCTGGGCCTCTGTCACAGGCCCTCATCCCTTCCCCTTGTCTTCCCATGGCATTCCTACACTGCTGGCTGCAAGTATCCCCATGCCCTGAGCCTCCCCGCACTGCAGGTCTGAGCATCCCTGCTTCACGGGCATCCCTCAATATCCATCCTGAGTGTTCCTGCGCCATGAGCATCCCTGCACTGCCAGCCACAGCATCCCTCAACATCCAGCCTGTGTGTCCCCACACGGCGAGCATCCCTGCACTACCAGCCACGGTTACCCTGCATGGAGGGATGCTCTGTCCGGGCACTGCAGGAACAGCATCCTTTTGCCGTGTGGTGGGAGAAGGCCCATGTGCTCCAGACACACCAAATGCCCTCTTGGACAAACAAAAGCCACGCAGGGACTCTCACCCCTAATCCTGCAGAGCACCAACCATCTCCCCCTCCGGGGGCTGGAGGTGGCAGCCTCACCCGACCTGCCCTGCCTGGCCTGGGGGTGGCCCTGCCCCACACACAGTGGGTTCATGCTGGGCTCTATGGACGCTTGATGTCTCACCCAAAACTGAGACCCAAAGAGGTGACGTCTTCTGCAGGAATCTCCCTTCCTGTCGCCCCTGCATCCACAGGCACGTCCGCTGCGGCCACCCACACCCGGCTCCTCCTGGAAAACCGGCTGCTTCGGATGCAGCTTCCCAGTAGGCTCGGAGGAGATTCACCCGCTCCGATAGGGAAGGAGCTCAGCCACAGCGGGGTGAAGAAACTCAACCAAAGTCGCCCAGCAAGCTTAGGATGGAGGCTGGGTGAGAGCCAAGAGCTTCTGACCCTACCATAGCCAGAGCCCAGCGCTGTGCTCAGCTCCCTGGGCATGCAGGGCTCCCCTGCTTCCCCTGTGACTATGGGTGCTGCTGGGTGGGATACCTGGACAAGCACCCATCCCTGCATCCAGATGTTCAGCTGCCTGCAGTGCTTTCCTGCCTGCAAATGGCCTGTCCTGGGGTTCGATGCTTCACAGCACCCCTGTGAATGGGATCCCCACCAACGCTGACAAACAGGTCCTCCACCAAGCCAGGCACTGCGGGGTGGGTCCAACTGGGGCAAAGCCACTGGGTTAACTGGCAGGAAAAGGGAGGCTGCAATCAGGGAGGCAGACTCCCATCAACACAGGACAAACGGCAGTCACTGGAGAGCACGATGCGCTAGAGAACTCTATCTTTCCCTACACCATTTCTGGCAACTGCTTCAGGATAACTGGCATCTTCACCCCTGAGAAACCTTCCAAACCCAGTGGGACCCAGCCAGAGCCCTGCCTGCTTTGA